GTTGTGAATGGTAAAAATATGTACTATTCATGATCTAGAAAATATACAGCATATTATTAACCGTTTGAGTTTTGATAAATCATTTTCTTGCTGTAGCAGATGACTTAAAGGTGCCCTAGAATGTTTTTTTATTTTTATTTTATAATGTTTCCTGGGTTACCCTTATAATGTTAGTATGTTTTTTAGATAAAAAATAATCATAATTTAGAAATAAATGGCATTTTTCCTAGCCTGCTTTTAGCCTCTGATTTGAACACTCTTGAAGGGGCGTGTCTGCTGTGGGATTCAGTGTAACCGCGGCCACTGCTGTGATTGGCTGACATGCTTGCATATGAAATAGCAACACATTACATGTGAAACTCTCTCCCGAATACTTTTACTACTGCTATTATACGTTTTTACTATAACAGCTATCGAGATTAACGAATCGTGAGATGTTTTTAAAGTATTTAGATCTATTCCCATCACATAAAATGTTGCCGTGATGAGCATTGAGCAGATGACAGTGTTGATCGCGAGACTGAAGATCTTATCATTGCAAAGCAGTTTCTGCACTCTCTCTGCTTTCACCAATGCAAACACGATGATGTAAATACAGTAAGAGCTTCGTTGTGCAGTAACGTGCGTCATTGATTTCATAACGAGTTTGGCAAGTGTCCAGATAAACTCGCGCTGTGTGGAAAGATTGTTCTTTGATCGCTTTCTGTATATAATTTGTTCACAATTTAAATACGATTATTTTCATCCTACTAAAAGAAACGATGTGAAGCTGATATTTTAGTCACTGGCTTGACTTACTGATGCATAAACAGTATTGAACGATTTTGAGAGAAAGATTACCTGTCTGAACTCGAACAACTACACATCAGAAAGTGTTGCTTGGTAGCTCGATCCGAGGCCAGCTCTGTATTGGCCCAAGTTGAGGAAACAGTCGGTGAAATGTTTGGAAATTTCCAGAGAAAATAAAATTAACCCATTGTTTCTTCAGAGGCTCAGATGAAGGAACTAAAAAATACTTTTGTGTTCATGTGTACTACATCCACACTGAGCAACTGCCATGCTTCGGCTGCACAGTTCCGCCTGGCATTGAGGGCTGGCATTATGCAAATATTTGGAGGCGTACATATTAATGATCCCGACTATTGCGTCACAGTCGGTATTGTGTGGAGAACCGACCGTTTTTCAGGGGTGTTTTTCATAAACGTGAATTAAATGAGAACGCGAAAACAGTCCAGTTTGAGATTCACTCTATGTCATGTCCATGCACTGAACTCTTGTTATTTGACTATACCAAGGTAAATTCAATTTTGAATTATAGGTCACCTTTAAGCAATCTAAAATAGTTTTAGCTAAATAACAGGTCTGAATCTTCATCTTTTTACCACATTACGAAAACAAAAGCACTTGAACGCAATACACTGGTAAATACCAGTTCACAAGTGGAAAATATCATATTTTCCATAGCACGTGAACGCACCATGAGAACGTCAAAAGTAAGCACTGCAACAACAGAAAAAAAGCCCTTGAAAGTTGCAAAAAACAGTGCAAAAAACAACTTTTTTGTTGTTGTTTTCAAGTTATTGCACTTTAATGAAATACTATGAAACATTTTTTTCTGGAATAATGTGTTTCGATGAATCCTGCAAATTAAGACCAGGAATGTGTTTTATGAAAATAAATGTGGTCATGTTTATTTGAAGAGCATTCTCTCTCTTATTCTCTAAGTGTGTGATTGTGATGTGTTTCCAGCAGATGCAGAAGAAGCGACTGAACGGCACGTTCCAGCGGTCTGACAGTCAGCAAGCTGTGAAATCTCCTCCGTTACTGGTGGGCATGGAGGTTTTTGCTACTTTTGATATGGAAGATGTACCATCTGTTAATATGCAATTTTGCATGAATGTTTTTCAGGATTCCCCTGATCCCAGCCGTGAACAAGTAGTCAAACTCTCTGTGAGTGGTCTCTGTTTTTCATTTCATTATAATCAACTTGCATATCTTCTATACTGGTTCATACCAGTGTTATTTTGGTAACACTTTACAATAAGGTTTCATTTGTTAACATTAATGTATTAACTAACATGAACTAACTATGAGCAATTTGTATAGTATTTATTCATCTTTGTTAACATTAATAAAGGCATTAATGTTAGTTTAATAAAAATAAAGCTGTTCATTATGTAATGTTAACAAATACAACTTTTGTTTTGCCAAAGCTTTATGACCAGGCACAGGTGAAGCCACATATTAAGGTCTGGGTAGATTAGATGGTAAACAAACTGTCAGTTCTCGGAAAAATGTGTTGGATGGAGGAGTAATTGGCAGGAATAAAGATCTGAGTGACTTTGATAAGGGCCAGATTGGTATGGCAAGGCAACTGGGTCAGAGTATCTCTAAAATGGCAAGGCTTGTGGGTTGTTCCCCAGGTAGTTGCTAAGGCACAGTTTCTAATTTTTAGTTTAGTCTCAAGTTCTTCTTCATCTAATATTTGTCTTTTATTTTATTTCAGTGTCATTTAAATGAACAAAAAATAAATATTTGTAATCGGTTTAGCTAACAAAAACAGTTTTTTACACTCATCTCCTGTTCTGTTTTTTGTTTTTTTTTCACAGACCAAGCTGTCTTCTGTCTCCCTGAGAGGACTTAGTTCTTCCAACTCAGCCAGTGACATCAGTGGCAATGATTTCCATGGAAACTACGCTTTTGAAGGAATAGGGGACGATGACCTGTGATGGAGTCGTCCTCATAGACTGGACTGAAGGAGTCTGATTCATTTAGCGGTTTCTCTGCGTTGAGTGTAGTTTAATAGATGCCCAGTTCTGCAATAGTGTAACGCCTTTCTGAAAGAATTAGATTAAGGGTCTCAGAAATGGCCTATGAAGCCTCTCATCAGTTTTATGAGAGGCCTCAGATTCAGTGCTCGCTCAATTAAAGTAAAAAAAAAAAAAAAGGATAATTTCAGATTTGAGGCATAATTGGAGATTTCAAAGGTTAGCTCAGGGGAGGTCACCGCATTCAGGCAAGATGTTAATTTAAGGCTGTGATGGAAGTTTCTTCGGCAGACGGCTTCATTGAATCGTACTTCCTTACAAGAGACACAAAATTGTGCTTTTCCTCTAATATGTCTTCTTGCAGGCACAAATTCCTGTCATCTCATTTTCTCTTGCTCCTGACTTTAGTTGCCTACTAGAGCAAGATCCATACCAGCAAATTGTGTTGATATGTTACTTTTAAAATCTATTAAGATTATTATTTAATAGAGAAGTGGTCTGCTTCGTATCGTGCAGTGTGTCAATGTTGCTCAACCTATTGTGTGGTAGCAACAATATGACCTGTAGCTTGGTAGATCTCTGCAGATTCCCGTTTTTTTTTTTTTTTTTTTTTTCAGGAGAGGTAATCTTGCAGCTAACTCGACCTGATGCCTACTGCATATTCTAGATGAAATTGTGGCCTGTTTGTTCTCTGCCTTACGCTGATTCAACCGCCTTACAGTTCAACTTCTCAAAATGAAAATAAAATGTAGCGCCGGACACAAGTTTTCTCATTCTGGCCTCAGCTGTGTCCTGAATCTCGCTTTGTTTTGGTGTTTGCACTAGCTGAACCCATGTTTTTTTTTTTTTGCACAGTATTAAGAAAGGTAGATGACTTGGGTATTTATTGAGATATTGACTGTGGGAAAACATCCTGGAACATTCGCAAGAGGTTTGTAGGTCTGTCAATTGATTTTTTTTTTTGCGCTTTTTGTCTGTGTTCTGTTATTCAAACCAATATATTAAAAAAAGGTTTGTCATAAATGCCAAAATTATAGTTCACTAAAGCATTTTGCACAGAAAAGTAAAATTATGGTAATGTCACTTTTATAAATGTACATGCAATTAAAAAAGTATTCTGAATATTTACTAATACCTGTATTATCTTTAGTATATTACAAAAAATGAACAGTTGATCAAATATAATCCAGGCTGTGTAAAAAAAAAAAAAACTAACTAACAGTTATCAGTGTTTACAAAATTGTAGAAAATTGTCAAAAAAGGAGTGTTTACAAATTTCACATTTCAATTTCAGTGATTGTCTTTGTACACTTTATTTTGTAGAATATCATTCCAGACTTTCATTTTTCATTTATATATACATAAAATCCATTTTGTATTTTACAAATGGCAATCATCTCAGAGGACTGATCACATTGTGCTTGGGAAATGGCTGTATTTCACATTTATGCTGGGGTTTTGACTGTCTGCATTGATTGTCATACTAAATGAAATACTCATATCTTTCATCCCAGATGATTCCCCTTTGTGCAGAATGTTTAATGCAAAGATTGTTTAAATGTTCTGATACTTTGTGCTGTATGGCTGACTATTTTTTAACTGATGACTGTAATTTGTGATTGCCATGTTAATATGTTCACCAGCATCATCTAGGATGAAAAGAGTAAACCGTCTGTACTCTTAAATCTTGTACATCTCTCATAAAGCGTATGAGCATGATTTATTTTTTAAATCGTCACTTCATTTTAGAATGGAATTTAGAGCCTTCTGGGTTTCAATAAACTTAGGTGCCAAACAACGCTGCTCTGTGTATGCGAGTCGTTTTCTGAGGTATTTCAGCATATGAGATTATCATATAGCCTATGTGGCTTGCCTGTAGTAAGTGCGTACAATCCCACACAGGAATCCTACCGCAAAAGGTCCTTAGCATGAAATGTAGCTTTTTGACCTATGATTTGAATGTCAAATTTCCTTTCAATATAAGCTTTGGGCTCAAAACAGGCTCTGGCACTTCAAACTCATTCGCTGGCCGGGGCTCTGTCATCATTAGCGTGTTTACCGGTGCTGTTCGCAGCAGAGCGAGGGGAAGATTACAGCTCTCGTTATGAAAGTGTGTGAGGATTACATGCACACTGCCTGTCTAGGCATCTTAATCACATCCTGCTGGCTACTAGTAACTTCACTTCGGTTCTGTGACTGAAGATGAAACTGAATTAAGACAAAGAAGTTAAGCAAGGTTCAACACAAATGTTTTATTTGAGGATATTTAAGGCATTAATGAAACCACTGCATAATAACAAGAAAACACTCAAGCACCACACACCTACAATATTCCAATGTTCGGTCATTTCTTGGCAACCTTAAGGTTTAACTGCATAATAGGGTTTACGTTAACTGTCGTCCTTCGGTATAGCTAACAATGCCATGGGTGGCAAATACATGCCAAACATTCCTTAGAGATAAAAAATAAAATCACATACAAAAATAAAAGCTCTATGTTTAGCATGACACTAAAATCCACTACGCAACATTTTGCTTCAAGTAAACTCAGACAAATGGCATTTCTCACAGACAATAAAACACACGCAACAAAAGGCAACACAATCCCCCAGAATTATTGAGAGCAAACACAAGATTAAAGATCACTATGCTATAAAGAACATTATGCTCATCTGTGAAGGCATTTCCACCAGTATGGTTGAGAAGATGGAAAAATGATCAATTACATAAAACCTCAAAACAGTCAACCAAGGTTAACTTAAGTGCATGCAACGTTGTGCCAGGCTTAAAGAAGAACTTCCTATGGCAGTACGGTGCAGTAGTGTGTTTGGCACTAATAAATGAACCACAATCGGGCTCAGAACGCTCTTAGAGAGCTTTGGGTAACAAACGTTTTGCCTCGTTCAAAGGCATTAATCGGGAATGTCCAATCCTGCTCCTGGAAGACCACCTTCCTGCAGAGTTTAGTGTCAACCGGCTCCAAACCAGTCAGGAAGTTTCGAATAATCCTAAAGACCTTGATTAGCTGGTTCAGGTGTGTTTGTATAGAGTCTGCAGGAAGGTTGGCCTTCCAGGAGCAGGATTGGACAGTCCCTACATTAGGACATTCAGGTAACTGTCTTTGAATTTGACTTCATGTAGCAGCTTGTTATCAATTCCCCAAATAATTCTGGGCACAAAAGAAAAGGAGGACAACTAACAACGCTTATGCCATTACAGTAAAATCTCATATGGACGACTGTCTTGCAATTTTAGTCTACACCTCTTCCTCGTCCTCCTCCACCTCTTCCTCATTTCCAGGCATCTGCGCTTTAACCCAGCCATCTGTAGTCAGGCTGTGCTTCTTCTGATGCCGTTTGTAATTGTCCCAGTGGCCAGTGGTGTACCCACACTCTTGGCACTTATGGGGCTTCTCGCCTGTGTGGCGCAACATGTGCCGCTTCAGGTTCATACTCTGATTGCAGCTGTAGTTGCAGATTGCACACTGAAAGGGTTTGGCGCCTGAATGCACCCGTTGGTGCCTCTTGAGATTCGCCAGGTTGCCGCAGGCATAGTCACACAGGTGGCACTTGTAGGGCTTCTCGCCGGTGTGCACTCGATGGTGCCGCTTGAGGTTGTCGAAGTGGGCGGAGGCGTAGTCGCACTGCGGGCACTTGTATGGCTTCTCTCCGCTGTGGGTCTTCATGTGGCGGGCCAGGTGGTTTGGGTAGTGGGTGAGGAAGGGGCAGGCAGCACAGGTGTAGACCTTGTCCCCTCGCTCAGCGGGGCATCCAGTTGTGTCCTTAGTCAGCATCTCCAGAGTGCACTTGGCGCAGATCTGGGCCGAGGACCCGTCCTCGTCATCCAAGGCCATGCCACACAGACGACAAGTGAAGGGGAAGAACGTGGGGGGTAGGGAAGCAGGTTCAGAAGGAGCCTGTCCTGACTGCAACACCCCCGTCGACGACGGCTGTGCAAGCCTGAGGCCATCAAAGGTCTGCAAGTAGTTCCCATCCCTTCCCACGTGGGGACGTGAGACAGACTGCACAGCACCTGCAACTGAAGGATGTCGGATTACAACTCATTGTAAAACTCTGTTCAATGTTCTTTCAAGGGGACACACACACACAGCAGGACCTTACTTACCTTCGGTGGGGGCAGGAGCCGCTTCCTTTTCCTTCTGGCCCACAGTAGTGTGATTTAAACAGTTGCCACTGACCGGCTGAGTGGCACTCTGACCCGGGCTTACAGCTAAATGCATGCGCTGGTGCCTCTTCAGGTTCCCTAAGGAACTGCATGCAAACGTGCAGTGGTTGCATTTGTAGGGCTTTTCTCCGGTGTGTATGCGCAAATGCCTTTGCAAGTTCACTAGTTGTGCCGAAGCATAGGAGCACAGCGGACACCCGTATGGTTTTTCGCCATTGTGTGTCTTCATGTGCCTCTTAACGTGGTTAGTGTAGCGTGAAGTGAAACCACAGAGCGTGCATGAGTGGAGCTTCAGGGAGCCATCCTCGCCACCAGCGCCCTCATTCCCTCCCCCTCTAGACTCCGCTTGTAAGCCTAAGCCCAAACAGAGCTTCCTGTCCACAACACCATCCGCATTCCCTTTGCAGCAGCGCATGCAGTAGGGCCCCACCAAGTCCATACCGGGTCCCAGGGGGTCTTCCAGGAGCTGACCACAGCCCCTGCAAGAGAGGTAAGAGGGAAAGGCAGACTCAGAAACCCTCTCTTCGCGCTCGCTTTCGGTTGCGCGGAGGTCGTCAGCGTCACTCTCCATACTGAGGCGGCTGAAGGGGGAGCTCTCCTCGTCTCCCAGGGGGAAGCCAGGCAGACTGATGTCAGCTGTACAGGACCATAGCAGGACACTGCATTACATTATGCAGCTGTATAGATATGTGTTCTGCAATCTGAGACAGTGTGCAAGCATTCAAATACAACAGAAATGTTAAAAGAAAAATATTCACACTATTTCAGTATCTGTAGCAAGTAAAGTTGACAGTAACCCTAGTATCTTAGTATTACGAGTTAAAAACACACAAAATGGTTTAGGAAAACTATAATTGTATCAAACGTACAAAAATTACAAGTAGAGCACAAAATATCAACAGCTGAAGTTGATATTTTGAAAAATATTTCATTTATACTTACCCACTAAGCCAGTGGACAAATGTTACGTAAATTCTGATAGAAACAAATAAAAAGTGGTACTCCAACAAAACCCAAGGCTACAGTGTTTCTGCTCAGTCTTTCTGTGAAACGACGTTTTCCTTCTGCAAGGGTTGTCCTCATGCACATGCAATGTGTAAAAATGTGTGAGTCTGAAGTCTGAACGGGCCTTTATATCGCCCGTTTCAGAAACCCCAGGTGGATGATTACCCAGCCTAATGATAATGATGATGACTATAATGGTCCTGCTGCTGATGATGATGATGATGATGATGAGGGGGAGATGATGATGATGATGATGATGACAACTATGATAAAGACCCTGAGAGGAGATGATGATGATGATGATGATGATGGACTAAATGCCTTATTATAATGTGTCCTTGATGGTGATGACTGTCTTGATGACCCTTATATAATAGTGTATTTTTTCCTGATTTGCCATTTTGAAATGGTATTTTCTGTCAGAATGCCAAAACCAGTAAAATTTTCCAGGGAGGAAAATTCTTCTCTCATCTGTACATGAAAGAGCACACTGCTTGCTGACAGACAAAATGCAGCACGTTTGCATAATAGCGTTAACATTACAGGTCAGTCTTTGCAGTTAATATCCATATTGAGAACATATGGCTCTTCATGAATGCCAGCAATACATCATCTAAAGCATATGTTTTAAATCCTCAAGATTTGTCAGTAGCCATCATATAATAGTCATAGCCAAGTAATACATTTTATAGAGACAACGGTTTTCAAAACTTTAAAAAAAAACTTATGGTCACTAGAAATTTCTATGTTAAATTCTAACTGTTATATAATTTTACAATTCCTCAATATTTCCAGATTTTCAATGATAGTTGGAACCCTGTAATATGAGCTAGTCTCCCAAATCGGAGTTAAATTTGGTCTTTGTAATAAAAAAATATTGCACGAAACAATTGCAATTCTCCTTCAAACAGTGGCACAGATTAGAATTTGGATGACAAGAACACGGCCCTACCAAAGTAGGGCTCGAAAACTCAAGTAACTCACCTGAGAACTTTTCAAGGCCTATGATCTTGTTGTCATTGTCAGGATCTGAGAACTCGAGTTCTTGTCCCAGGAGTAAGTCGCTCTCAAAGGTAAGGCTTGCTGGACGTACAGTGCCTAAACCATCTTCAGAATCCACTGAAAGCAAAGGCTCATGGTTAAATACAGCAGCAATGGCGTTCATTGAAAGAAGATCATGCAACTTGACCTGTGTATATTTTTTTGAGCCATTTCTGTCCTTACCTTTGTGGTAATGCCTGTTGATGTCAATGTGTGTATATGTTATAAATCTATTTACTTACCTATTATTTTTGTGGTTTAATTGTTTATTATTATATAATTTATTCTTCTTTTAATAAAAAAAAAATATATATCAAAGGATGTAAAATGATCTACTAAAGCCCTGTGAATCTCACTCAGCAGCTGTAAACTTCATAAGAGGAATACTGAATCTTACATGTATTATACAAACAAGATTTACAGTAAACTGCACACCATCTTGTGGGATCATGTACATTTGTAACAATTAGTCAACAAGAAATCATTTAATCAACTATCATCACTTTCACCCATGTGGAATTTTTGAAATCTATATATATATATATATATATATATAGATTTTAATTACCGTATACTTTTTCAAACTCTGATTAGTTTATTTCATTTCTCATTTCAACCAAGTCACAATGTATGCATTTGTGTTTAAAAACATTCTGGGGTTAAAATGTAATTAATTTGAAACATTTTCTGAAGAAAATGATTGGCTCCAATTAAATTATATTTTCATTCTTTTTGCATAATTTGACAAAATTACAGTTTGACTGGAAATACAATATCAATTTGTGACATCTTGATTTGTCTTTTTCTTAGTTCATTTTTACAAGTAGAAAAATTGCTGGTCATTGTGAAAATAAAACCACAACAGCTAGATGATCCTAACTTTTAAAAACGTAATAACATTTTATAATGAATTTTCATATTTTAAAATTGGCAAGTGTAAGAAACAGTCAGCTACTATACATGAAAAGTAATAGTAAAGATAAATAAAGAAGGCAATATAAAATGTTTCCAAGACAGTTTTAATGTGACCTTCATATAACAAAAAGGGAAAATAAGCAGCCCATTATGCAGTACTGACTTCTTACTGGCCCTGGCTTTACTGTAGATTTACTGCCATCTACTGGGCGAGATTGAAAACAATGAACACTTTTTGAGAAGAAAAGAACAAACAATGAACAACCAATACTTTAGCAGGAGTTAATGTTTAAAGCAATTAAAACATTATCCAATTATTTACTATGACAGTCACCATCTAAATCTAAAATTACTTCCTATTAAATGAATTACACTGTACAGCCTATAGAGCTAAACTCAGCTTATCTTCATAATATGACACAAACACAAAAAACTCCTAGTTTTGTTAACCACATAATACATTTCAAGACACCAGATTTACAGCATATATAATCATAAGGAGATTCTTGTCTGACACCTGAAAGCACAATTCAAAATCAAGATGATCAAAACAGACGGCAGTGCAATTATTATGTTTCTGTGAGACCTGTCAATAAAAACAATTACTATTTATTTATAATTCATTATAATTCTATACAGTTTATAATTATATTATAATACTATAACCACACAGTCTAGATGTCCCTGCTATTACTGTAACAAAGAGTCTGCTTATTGATAGCTAACATTTAGGAGACTTTGGACAGATATGTCCAAGTTTAAATGGCTCAAGAGCATATGCCAGTTTTAATTATAAGGGAAGACCACATGACCAGTTTAATAATCTTTCTGTGAATTAGTAAACACTTACGAAAGCAAAACGCACGTGAAAGGAATGAAGCAAACCATTTAGCTGAAAATACTAGATGAAAAAGCAGCTTACACTTGACAGGTTGTGGATTCTGCTGTTTTCTTCTTGGCATCTTCCAGTCAGCCTTTTTATTTGCAACCTCCTCTGGATTCCCTCGAAAAGAATCAACTCATTCTCCAAAGTAGCCTTTGAAAGCATTGAAATAACAGACGTTACAGTACTGGCATGCACGTCAACACAACCTCTATAACAGATACATGGGCTAACGTGCTACTCTTACAGTGTCATTTAACATAAATAAGGCTGGTGTTATTTATAGCACATACAGGATATTTTAAACTCGTAGTGCGACAGAATGCATGAATTGCAAGATTCTTTCCGCCCAGTCTGTGCGTTTATTCTGTCGACATGCAGCACACAAATCTAAACACTCAACTCCAGCTATATTGTCAAGCTCAGCAGATGTCATAAATATACCTGCTCTTTCTGCCTGACACGTCAAACAACAGTTTCCGTCGAGGCAAAACAGCGGCGTCTGACGGTGCACTACTGCTCACAAGCCGCCATTCCATAACACAGCGACCACAAAGAAAGGCAATTAATGCTCTTTTTTCATAACTTAATTGATTTCCAAATTGCCATTGTATACATTTTTCTTCCGCTACCGTTGCGTATTTCCGCTTCCCCAGTGACGCGTTTCCGGGTACTTTGCTCCCTCTCTATTTTTACTTTTCTCTTTTTATGGAATGTTTATGGAATGTTAAAAAAAAAAAAAAAAAAAAACTATAATAAAGGAAAGCCTAATGTTAGATTTAGTTTTTGTATTATTAATTTTAGTGCATTTGATTCATATGGGCGTAATAACTAATAACTGCTATATTATAACAACAACAGCAGCAGCAACATTATTATATTATTACATTATTAATACAACGACGATCAATTTGATATTTTCTTTGTTTACTATTCGTAAACCGTAGCAAACTATTCAAACTAGTACAGTCCTTTATACACACATGTCTTCACTTAATGTTAATTAGCCTATATATTATATATTTATTAGTATCATATTGCCTTGTTATGAAATGGGCTAATAGAATACCGTTAGGCTAAATTAAAATAATTACTGGTGCAGTGGTGCTCAATTTTCATATTTTGCTAAATTACTGAACAGCCTACATAATACTGAATTTAGAATGACAACCATACTCTTTATTTGCACAATTAGCTAAATTAGCTCACTGAACAGACAACAGATTAAGCCTTTTTATAGCTTTTTTATAAAAATTAAAACTGTTTAATTTTTAATTAAAAATTTTAATTAAAAATTAAAAAAAAATTGCCGTTTGTTGTGTTCAGAGGCAGAGATCGCTGTTGTCAGGTACTGTTTCATTAAAATGTGGTTCGTCATTGAATGAAGTAAGTGATTGTACGTCATCGCACTGATTCCGATGATCGCTGCAGTCGCAGCATCTTTCCCGCAGGCCGTTACAAGCTCTCGAGCAGCAGGCGACGCCGGTGTGCAGAGAAAAGGGAACCTCGAGGTTCAAGGGGATCTCCTCGCTAACGTCATGCGGCGAATCTCGGACCACAGGGTCCAGAAAAACGCTCAAAGACACCCAACAGGCGACGTTTTACAGCAGTGGGAGGAGCCGTCCTCAGCCGCTCTGTGGGAGGAGCCAAGCACCCAGCCGATGGTGCTGTTGAGCTGATAACGCACTGAGCGGAGGTAAGAGGCTGATTTCATTCATTTATTGTGCGCTATCTTTTGGTCAGAAGGTGATTTAGTCTTCTGCTTTACTGCATAATACGCTGCATTTACGCGTAAAAGTGTATTATTTGGCAGGGGTGAACAGTCATACGTAATAACCTTGCCACTCCCTGCAGTGCTGTGATGCCCTGGCCAGACCTTCTTATTAATTAATAATAGCCTACAAATTCTGTTCGTAGACAATGAATTTCAGTGAATGAATTTTAAAGCAACGATAAACAGCCCCATTTCTGCACAATCGAGAGGTCTTCTGAAGTGCATGTTATTCTGTACGTGAATTGTAGGCTAATATAAATATTCGTAGGCTACTGTATCATTAAAGTAACAGTTGGTGTAAATATCGGATCACTGATGTGCTCCTGGCACTATAATGTGGAGGTGTGTCCTCATATAACGCCCTAAACGGCATTGCCACGATGCTTTCCTGAAGGGAGTTATTAGTCAGGGTATTAATGGGATCCCCTCCTTCTTCAAAAGATCCTGATATAGGCCTAATTGTAAACAGAGCTATGATAGCATTTCATCGGCTTTTGGTATTTTGGGTTTGCCAAGTTGCTGCCCAACTTTGCTTAATGTGGTTAAACAAGAAAGCCGTTGAGTGCATGTCCAGGAATAGTCCAGGGAACCGAGAGAAAGAAAACACAACAAAGCCAATCCAAAGATCTCAGCCACAGGATTTTGCTCTATGGCCAAAGAAGCTATAAAACACATTTGAGCTTGTCTCATCATTGAGGCCCACTGGCACTGCATTCTGCATGATAAAAGTTTTATTTTTATTTTTATGCATGCATGAGACATATTATAGCATTGGTGGAAATTATTTATTTAAGATATCAATGGTATGCAATTAAATCAGCCACGTTGCTTGTCTCTTAGAAGTCAAGCAGAATGTCTAAATGCACCTTTGTAATAATTTCATCTATCATAGGCTAATGTATTCCCTCCATTAGAATTGTATAACCCTTTTTATTCACGCTTCAAGCTCGATCTTGTGCATTTTAAAACCCTGCTTGTCAGAGTGTTGAATGACCTTGATATTATAGGTCTATTCTCCTTATTGGTTTCTGTTCTGTTGAGTGATGGAGCATGCATGCAGTCAAAGGCAAGACACAGACCCTCACGTTAATTACGTAATGCTGCCAGAGGGGCTGATGTTGCTTATCTCAGATCCAAATATTGATCTTTAGCAGATCTTGACTCTTTTTTTTTTCTTTCTTTTTTTTGTGGCCCATGAGATTTCATGTTTTTCTCTATTTAACAAAACCATGATTTTCTTGAGATTGTTTTAAAAAGGGTAAGTGAAAGAAATATAGTTGTTTTGCTATTAAGACCTGAATCAAGACATTGATTTTCTCGATTGACCATTTTATTTCTAATGACCATAAAATTCGAATTCTTTAAGTAGCTTTATTGGCCATATCTCTTAATTTAATCTGCGATTTAATCAGATTTACCACATCAGAATGTTTATCTGAAAAGATCTGAAATAGATTGATCCTCATGAATATATTTTTTATCTTAGTGTTTTATATTGAATCATTTAGCAGTTTGTTTTCTCTTATATAGCAAAAGAACTATGAACAATATGTCAAAGTGAGTGTTATTTTTGTATTATTTGTATACTGTTATAGTATTTATTCGTATTTTGAATTATTTTTTATTTTTATATTTATAAAAATATTCTATTATTTTATATATTTTTAGCGTTTATTTTAATTTTAGTTCATGTTTTAGTCATTTTTTTGAGTACGTGCTTTTGTCATTAGTTTAGTTTTTTAATTTATTTTTTTAATTTCAGATTTAGTTTTAGTAATCTTTAAATTCAACTTATTTTATTTTAGTTAGTTGCCAAGACAACATTTCTACAACAGTTTTTTAAGCCAGATATGTCTGTTTAATTTTGAAATGCTTGAACATGATCTGATGTGGAGTCCGGTGCATCAGTGTCCATCTTCATATCTGGCTGGCTCTCTCCACATGAGTGTTACTTTTGGAGGAGAGTAAATTGACAATTAACAAAAGTAAAAAAAAAAAAAAACCTCCAGGGAAAAAAGAAGTCAGTTTTCACTATTTTTCGTCTGTCTGGCATCTCCTTCTCCATTACAATGTTGACTGTTGGTCAGTTGGTTGATTAATTTCACATGATCATGTATCAAGATAAAATACAGCTCAGACTTCTCCATTCCACCAGCTTTGTCACACAAAATAACTACCTCTGAAAGTGTGCACTATGCAGTTGTCTTTGCATATACTGTAGGTGGGAGCCAGGTTTACAAGCCAGGAAATAATCAGGGCCTTTGGAAACATCTTTGTAAACATATTTTTACCTTGAATATATATATATATATATATTATTTTTCAAGGTAAAAATATGTTTACAAAGATGTGTATGTAAGTGTATGACTGTATGTGCAAGTTTGGGATTAGTAAGATTTTTTTTTTAATTAATACTTTTATTCAGCAAGAAAACATTAAATTGATCAAAAAAGTGATACTAAAGACACAAAACATTACCAAAGATATATATTTCAAGTGCTGTTCTTTTGAACTTTCTATTCATTAAATAATCCTGAAATGTATCAAAGTTTCCACAAAAATATTAAAACATTAAAAAATTCAAACAGAAAACAGTTAAGAGACTTCTTTCAAAAACGTTAAAACACCTTTCCGACCCCAAACTTTGTAATGGATCTGCGCTGAAAGATGTTTTCCACAACAATCTTACTTCACAATCTAGCACTGATGCTGTTTATATATTTTGTTTTGTTTTTCAGTTATGAAACCACCATTTGTGAATCGTTTGGATAACTAAAGGAACATAAAACATTTAATGTAAGAAGAAAACAAGCATGACCTTGATCAGGAAACGCTGTTGTGGACGATTTTTCTACTTCCTCACAATGGTCTATTTGCCAATGTTCAGTGTCAGACCATAAGCAACAAACCGAGACAGACAAACAAAAGGGTCCTGATCCACTCATGCTGTTTTGGCTGGACTGTCCAGCTCTGTACAATGAAGAGACCCAAGCAGCAGTCACAGTCCCTTAGTTTTCTCAGCTTCTTCAGCCGAAAGCCCAAATCTGATCCCAGGATTGAGAAGCCCGCCGGGACTTTGAACAAGGAGGAAGTGGCCATCACTCTCACACCCAATGAGCATGAACATGTGGTACAAGTAAGATGACATTTATACATTTGTTCTCTTTAGCTACATCTTTAACTCTTAAACACGTTTCAATTTAATCTCTGTATTCTGTAAGCAGTTGCTGTAATGGTTCATGTTACCTGGTAGACACTTTAACATCTCAGTTCCTTTCAGAAGCATCATGCCCAATCAAACATGCTCCCTCAGATTGTCGAGCCAAGTGGATTTGGGAAAAAAAAGTTATTGAATAGCATAATTATTGTAAAAAAAAAAAAAATCTTTAATGATGTGGCAGAATTCACTAGTTCAATCAAAGTCAAACACATGACTTTTTCTTCTTGGAACACAAAAGGAAATGTTCTCAAATCGTGAAAGCTGTTCTTTCAATACAATGAAAGTAAAACTGTTCCCAGGTTGGACATTTGGGACGCCATTTGGCTCACACCCACTGAGAAATTAGATGCATGACGTCTCACATGAGTTTCTCATTGGCCCTTTTGCCAAGAAACAGAATTGTTAGACCGTGTCATTTTCTCATTTAATATAATTATTCTTCATTAGACAGAAAAAGTCCTAACTTTAATTTCTGCCCTGAATCATTTTGTGTTTCCTCCCAGGACCGGGCTCACAGTGATGTCGGATTAGAGGGCGGCAGGGATGGAGGAGACCCTGGGAAGGGGGAAGATGACGAGGGAGGTGTGGAGTGTGGGAGCAGTGGCTCAATGGGTGTACTGTCCTTGTCCTCCTCCAGTCAGGATCAGCTGCTCGAGCACCTGGTGGAGTGCCCGCTCTGCCTCCTGAGTCAACCACGCGGCCACTTCCCTCGCCTGTCCTCCTGCCAGCACCGTGCCTGCACCGACTGTTTGCGCCAATACCTACGCATCGAGATCTCCGAGAGCCGCGTGGGTATCGCCTGCCCGCAGTGCCCTGAAGTGCTGGCTCTGCCCGACGTCCGTGCCATCCTGGATGACGGTGCTCTGCTGGAGCGCTTCGAAGAGTTTCAGCTGCGCCGCTTTCTGGCTGCTGACCCGGACACGCGCTGGTGCCCAGCCCCAGACTGCAGGTTAGCACATAAATGTGTCCCATCCTCTGCAAGAGTGCCATTATAGAGAGCCTAAGTCCCGCCCCTCCGCTTCCGGCTCATGGATGGTAGTCAATGGCGAGAGACAACTTATCTTTTTATTCCGTCTGAACTGTACCCTGAATTACACATATGATGTTTGTCAATGTAAAAGATAATTCTGAAAGTCAAGAAAGTCGCAGTTTGTCATAAAACAGAAGAGTGACATTTAGTTTTATGTGAAAATCGCTCAATGAACTACATCTCCCGGGAAGCGAAACAACGAGCGAGATCCGCTGCTCGTGTGTGTGCAGTCTGGTACAAAACACTCAGGCATGACGGCGTAACGTTACGATTATAACGTAAGACTATAGACGAAATGACAGACGTTAGCTTCAGTAAAGTTAGCTTCAGTAAAGTTAGCTTCAGTAAAGTTAGCTTCAGTCATTGAGAGAAAATGTGCGCCTTTGGGGTTTGTAGTCTTTTTAATTACGTATTTTCACAGTCTTATACCTCAACAGTTTTACATCAAACTGCGACTTTCTTGACTTTAAAATGTATCTTTTAAATTGACAAACATCATATGTGTAATTCAGGGCACAATTCAAACGAGATCAAAATATTTGTTGTCTCTCACCATTGACTACCATGCAATATTTTTCCGAAATAAGGTCCCATGGTGGTCGACCGGAAGGGTAGGGACTTAGGCTCTCTATTGAAGGATATTGTTCCAACCCTTGATTTAATATTACAAGTTGACATATTATATTACTGTAATAATTTCCTTTTATTGAACTTGTCACGATAATATCTACAAAAGATGTTTTTAGCTGCACTTTTAAAAAAATCTATAATTTCTATTAAAAGTGGTAAAAAGAAAAAAGTGTAATGATTTTAGCTTGGCGGTTTGTAACTTTGATTTTAAATATAAAGCAGAAATTTAACTTGAGATTATAATATTAATATTCTGGCCGATACCGGAAGATTTGGTTTTCACATTATGGCTAATAATATAGATTTTTTTTTTAAATTCTATATTATTTTTTATTTTGTAATATAAAAAATAGAAATTTGAAAAATAACATTTGAATAATAGCTATGATATAATAATATATTATAGCTAGTGAAGTGAATCTACGCATCACCACATTATAATGTACAGTATAAAAAATGGATATTCATTTTGAGATTCGCTGAAGATTACATTTAGCAGTGTCATTAAATTATATTGTCTCATAAAAACCGGATCATCCAATAACTGTTACCAATACTGCATCCGCTCTGAATCCACTCTTAAATCTTTTACACCGTATAGTCACAACAAGTTAGATTGTGTTTCATAAAACAAACTTGCTGACATAAAGGCACCACATAATATTACTCAATGGAATTGCTTGTGAGAAGTTGTATATTGAATAAAATTCAATCATTTTAAAATGTGGTCAAACTGTTTTTTTGGCTTGTTGTTGGGAGTTAGTTAGACCATGGCTTCTCCACCAGTTTAGCCAAGGTGGTCTATCGACTCTAACCAGCTTGACTGAAATGGTCTACTAGGTCATCCTCAGTCACACCAGCTTGTAGTCCTGCTGATCACCCGACTTCCCCCATGTGAAGTGGGTTTTACCTGGATTTTCAATGAGCAAGTGTACAGTGGCAGATCATTATGTCACGCACGCTGCAGTGCAGAGTGAAGCATGTTCTCCTCTGTGGTACATTATGTATAGTTCTGGAGGCCAGCTTTAGGTTTCGTAAAGGTAACCGGATCGGGGTAGTGATGGGAACCCATGGCTGTTTGGCATTTCTTGTCAACAAGACAGTATTAGGTATCGCCTGCAGTCACTCCACATGGGACCGAGAGCATCCTCTCTCTTTACTACTGTGACTGAAGCACAAAAAACAATGATGTTAGCTGTAACCACCACCGTCTGCTAGATGGTGGCTTATGTTCACATATCAAATGATGTGTGTTTAAAATATTGATTAACACACGTTAACTAGCTGCATGTTGTTGTTTAAATTTGAAATATAATTGACTTAATCCATATGTTTTATCATTCATTAGCTATGCAGTGATAGCTTACGGCTGTGCGGAGTGTCCCAAGCTAAGCTGTGGTCGGGAAGGCTGTGAAACCGAGTTTTGCTACCACTGCCGTCAGCTGTGGCACCCAGACCAGACTTGCGACCAAGCCAGACGTCAGCGCGCTCGCCACACGTCAGGAGGCAATGATGTTTCCACACTCTACGTGTTCAACGAGGAACCTGGCGGTATGGTGCGAATATTGAGGGACTGACCTAATATCCATTTGGGGTCGCAGCTAAGATGTTTGTTTCTGCCCTCGCTCTTTAAGATGCAGAGGAGATCAAGCCCTGTCCACGGTGTGGGGCCTACATCATGAAGACGAATGATGGCAGCTGCAATAGAATGAACTGTACAGTGTGTGCTTGTCAGTTCTGTTGGCTGTGCATGCAGGAGATCACTGATGTGCACTACCTCAGGTACACACATACAGAACACACGCTCATCAAGTTACTGTAAGAGTTGTCGCACGTAGCCAGATCTTTGACTAATGGCTAACAGCTACGGTCTCGTCCACATTGCAGCTTATTTTGTACAAGAACTGCCCATTTAGACAGGAAGATCTGATTGACATGTAAAGCAACCAACCTCGGCTCAGTTTAGATTTTATGCACTTTAAAGGGATAGTTCGGCCAAAAATGATATTTAACCCATGCATTACTCACCCTCAAGCCGTTCGAGATGCATATGTCAATCTTGTTTCAGACGAACACATTTTCAGTTATTTTAGAAAATGTCTTAGACCCTTCAGTGGATATAATGTGAAGCAATGGGGTCCACCTCCTTCAAGTCCCAAAATGTGCATACATCCTTCACAAAAGTAATCCATCCGGCTCCAGGGGGATAAACGAAGGCCTTCTGAGGGTAATCCGTGCGGTTTTGTCGTAAAAATATACATATTTAAAACTTTATAAATGAAAATATCTGACTTCCGGCAACGATCGACGCGCGTTCACGGGTGATGGAAGTCGGCGTACGAGGTAGGACCTATGGGTAGGACGTGGCGTAGGAACCGTCGTGACGTAGACGTTGTTTCGCTCTGCTCTCTGGCTGCGCAGGCGCGTTCGTTCTACGTCACGACGGTTCCTACGCTTCGTCCTACCTCGTACGCCGACTTCCATCACCCGTGAACGCGTGCCGATCGTTGCCGGAAGTCAGATATTTTCATTTATAAAGTTTTAAATATGTATATTTTTACGACAAAACCGCACGGATTACCCTCAGAAGGCCTTCGTTTATCCCCCTGGAGCCGGATGGATTACTTTTGTGAAGGATGTATGCACATTTTGGGACTTGAAGGAGGTGGACCCCATTGCTTCACATTATATCCACTGAAGGGTCTAAGACATTTTCTAAAATAACTGAAAATGTGTTCGTCTGAAACAAGATTGACATATGCATCTCGAACGGCTTGAGGGTGAGTAATGCATGGGTTAAATATCATTTTTGGCCGAACTATCCCTTTAAAGGTGGATTTATCTGAAATACAATACAGTTCAAAAGGTTGAGGTCAGAAAGATTATTTTATATTATTTTATTAAGGACAGGCACATTCAATTGAGCAAAAGAGACAGTAAGACATGTATAATGTTATAAAAGATTTCAAATGAATGCTGTGTTTTGAGCATCAAAGAATCCTGAATAAAAACGTATCATGGTTTCCACCAAAGTAGTAAGCAGCACAACTGTTTTTAACATTGATAATTAATAATATGAAATATTTCCTGAGCAGCAAATCAGTATTAATGATTAGAAAGATTTCTGAAGGATCATGTGACACTGAATAGTACTGGAGTAATGGCTGCTGCCATTACATGAATAAATGAAGATATATTAAAATAGAAAACAGTTATTTTAAGTTGTAATAATATTTCACAATGTCTCTGTATTTGTGGTCAAATAAATGCCTTGGTGAGCAAAAGACACTTCTTTCAAAAACATGCAAAAAATCGTACCTATCCTAAACTTTCGAACTTGAATGTAAATCATGCCACAAAAAATATTTTTAATTTAAATAATAGTTTGCTAATCTCTGTGAACAGTCATATAGAAAATAATTTACGTAATGGTGCAGAAGACACTGAAAACGTAGACAAAAAAGGTACAGATTATATTTCATAGACAAAAAAAGGTGGAGAATATACAGTTTTGATCATAAATATCTCATTTTCTTGCAGACTCAAACTGTTCTGGAGATTTGATGCTTCTAACATTGAAAACTCTTCCTCTCAAATGCTCATTGTATCCACCCTGTACATTCTAAATACTTTATTTCCCGGCAGACTGATTTAAAATAAAACGTCCTACCCTTGGAATTCACATTAACCATAAGCACAGTGTAAGATTTCTCTATATTTGGCCGAGCGATTGTTTGGGTGGCTCGCCAATGTATTTGATTTCTCTAAATAATACATAAAATAAGTAAGTTTGACCAGAGTTCTTGTGTGGAGAATCATTTATTGAAAGTAGTAGTGTAGCACAGTTCTTCAGCAGCGATATTAGCTTGTCTGCCTTCAAATAATCTTAACCCAAAGTTCTGTCTGTGTAACAGACCTTTATACCTGGTAACAAATGTGCCACAAACAATGACAATGACACCCCATGGAGAGCCAATGAGACCGTAACCTGATGATGACCTAAGGGGCTTTGGGTCACACTTTAAGAAAAAAAAAAAGAATACAGTTGATAACAGTTACAAATACATGTGACTAGAGTTAATTCAAAAACAAACAATCCTTGGGTGATTTTCTGAATGTGCCTGCAGTTTTGAATGCAAAATTTGGTCCGTAGTAGTTGTGGGTAGGAGAAACTCATACAGTTTTTAAATCAACCTGCGTTTATTAATTGATTAAGTTCCTGTTGGCTACTGTACACTTTGTAATTAACATTTACAGAATATTCATCCAGTGTGCAGAGCTTTCACAACCAAATATAGGACATTTGCCTGCAAGCACATAGCCCACATTCATCACAAGCAGTCACCAGAGTTTGTGATCTGTTATTAAGCTACTCTCTGACACATTCGGTCCAAGCTAAACAGGGGTAATTCTGCTGCACAAGAATGTCAAATATGTTTTTCTGGCCCTGGAATACTGAGTTTGCGAGTTGCTTTTGTAGCCGACTTCATGAATGTTGCAGATTATCAGATTTGCTTAATTACTCTTAATCAACAAGTCTCACAGAAGCTGAGGCATTTTAGAGGTCTGATCTTTCAGATAGCGACTTTGCTTCCAGTTTCAGTAAGCTATCGCTGCACCAAAGCTGATTTCGAATAGATTTTTCCGTTCTTGGATGTTGGCCAGCACCAACGCTTGTCAATTAATCAGTACAAATCTCGGTTCATATTTCCCTTTCCATGCAACCCAACCCCCATGATTTGCCAGAAGCAGGTTTCTTAATTTAATGAACACCCCATTCTGCTAGGCTCCAGCTGGCCGGAGAAAGATTTTTATTAAATGACAGAATGCATCATTTTCATCATAATTCTAAACTAGCCATTTAAGACAAGACAGGTAGAGTGAAAAATTGTGTATGTATTTAGATGTAACACACCCTTGAACATCACAGAGATTTGGCGGTTTAAAGGGATAGTTTACCAAAAAAAAATGTAATTCTGTCATCATTTACTTACCCTCAAGTTTTTCCAAACCTGTATGAGTTTCTTTCTTCTGCTGAACACAAAAGAAGATATTTTAAAGAATGTAACTTTAAAAGTAACCAAACAGACCCAGGGCCCATCAACTGTTTGGTTACCGACAATCTTCAAAATATCTTCTTTTGTGTTCAACAGAAGAAAGAAACTTGAGGGTGAGTATGAAACTTGATGATATAATTTTCATTTTTGGGTGAACTATTATTTTAATGGGAGCAACATACAGATGCATGTTTAATCCTGTCATGTGACACCACATTTATTTGTGTTAATTTTTGAAAAAGGTAGAAAACCTTTTTGTAGACATAAAGGGCCCTATCATACGGGCGCGACACAAGTGTTTATTGCTAGTTTCAGCCTGACGCAGTTATCATTTTTCACGTCCTGCGCCACGTTGTTTAAATAGCAAATCCATTTGCGCCCATTTTGAGGCGACTGAAATAGATTGCGCAGTCAATGACGCAGTGTTTTTTTTGTTACCGTATTTAAAGGGTGCATTTGTAGTTTGAGCCTATAGGGACAACCCTTTAAGACCATGCGTCAGGCGCGCCGACCATTTTTCCCATCGTTAAACTAGCAAAAGTGGATTCGGATACGCCCTAAGACAAAGTGCACTTGAACCTTGCGCTTTAGACCATGCGCTTAGATCGTTAAAATAGGGCCCAAAGTGTTTTTGCGATATTTGAAATATTGACAGAAGTTACGAAAAAAGATAGTATGGAAATTTAATCAATAATTCACATTTCTTTTAGCTAAATCGGTAAACATTTTGATGTGCTTAACCGTTTTCTGCAAAAACAACAACAACAACAAAAAATCCTTGGATGAAAACTTGCCTATTGGGTGGTTGATCAACATTCATCAATAATAAAGTGTTGTCTTCAAATATTTACTTCAAATTCACTTTTAAGCTTGAACCTTGTAACACTTTGCCACACAGTACAAAACAGGAAGTGACACTGACCATAGAGGATTGTAATTCACCCAGGCAGTGCATGAGGCTAATCGAGGATGAGATCATAAAATATTGATCCAATGAGACTGTGTGTGTGTGTGTGTGTGTGTCTTATCTTTAACCCCATGTCATGTACATGCCACAGTGTGTGAGAATGTACATGACATTAAAAATAAATGTCTTTTTTTTCCCTTACAGTCCCTCAGGCTGCACTTTCTGGGGAAAGAAGCCGTGGTCACAGACCCGAAAGGTTTTGTGGCAGGTCGGCATGCTGCTCGGGGCTCCGGTGGTGATCTCACTCATAGCAGGCATTGCGATACCGGTCATCATTGTGGGCATCCCGATTTATATGGGCCGCAAGGTAAAGACTGAAAAATGTGCTGCATTATTTAAATCAAAGTGAGCTGCTACTGTATGTCTGTCCTCTCTGTTGAGAAATGCATCCAGTGACCGTTTAATAGCTCTAGGATGATAAAAAGACAAGGTCATGCCCCTGGCTGTATGCTCATCATGAGAAAAGTGCTGCCGAATGCATATATGTAAATGTATGTAGATCCACCAGACCCCTTCACACAGCAGGTGAATGTGATATATAGAAAATGTTTGCAAAGAAAGTAGAGAGTGCTTCACTGTGCCATTTATTTATAGAGTCAATTTTGCTCTTTGGGACCCCATGACAAAAAAAACAGCAGGATATTTTTAGAGTAATCAGATTAATCAGAAAACACTCATTTGATTATTTCCTTTGTATGTGATGATTAATTTTTAGTCTCTTAAAAACCCTGCAGTGTATGTTATAAATGATTTACCAAAAAAAAAGTCCTAGTGCCCTTGTAAACTTTAATCAAAAACATTAATTAGCAAACCACAACATCAATAAACAAAATCAAGCCCCGCATGAGAAGCCGTTTCACTTATATATATAGTATGTCACAAAAAAGAAAGGGTGATCACGATTTCCGTTTCATTTCCGTTTCTGTATCTGTTTGCTTGCCTTTCAGGTCCATGGTCGCTGTAAGAAAAACAGTATCTCAGGAAGTAAGCATTATCTGACAGTGGCCAGTGGGGTCATGATGTCTGTTTTTGTGTCTCCAGTCATAGCGGCCATTACTGTCGGTAAGAAACTCATCCATCCACTTTGGCTACTAATATATTTGAGAGGTCATTTTATCTAATATGTTGTGTTTTATATTATAGACATTACTGTTCTAAAGTGTGGGGCCAGTAAAAAAAAATTAATGAAAATAATACTTTTATTCAGCAAGGATGCATTAAATTGATCAAAAGTGACAGTAAAGACATTTATAATGTAAGATTTATATTTCAAATAAATGATGTTCTGTTGAACTTTCTATTCATCAAAGAATCCTGAATAAATCATAGTTTCCACAACAATGTTAAACAGCACAACTGGTTTCAACATTGAGAATAATCAGAAATGTTTCTTGAGCACCAAATCAGCATATTAGATTGATTTCTGAAGGATCATGTGACATCATGAGTAATGATGCTGAAAATTCAGCTTTGATCACAGGAATAAATTACATTTTAAAATATATGAAAATAGAAAACATTTTAAATTGTAATGATGTTTCACTTTTACTGTATTCGTGATCAAATAAATGCAGCCTTGGTGAGCATAAGAGACTTCTTTCCAAAACATTAAAACAATCTTACTGACCCCGAACTTTTAAACAGTAGTGTTTGTCTTTTTTATGTTTTTGAATGTGAATATAAGAAATGGGTGTATTAAGAAGTCAAGGAGCACTTTAGTGGTCGTATTGGTGGCAATGTAAAGGTGCTGACTTAAGTGTTATTTCTTTGTATTGATTCTTCTGGCGTTCAGACAAATGAAGCTATTTAAGACACAAGTCTGCTGAGACCTTGAATGAAAAAGGTAGAAATGAAAACAATCATTTACTCACCTTCATGTCATTCCAAACCTGTACGACTTTCTTCTGTGGATTTGAAGAATATTCCGGCCACTCTTTGAAATGCAAAAAACGGACTGAAATTGAAGCCATAATTTACCTTAACTTTGTGAAAAGTTATTTTGAACCAGATCTTTTCAGTAATCAGTTGATTTGGGTGAATGACAACTTGCGCATCAATCTGTTCATCAAGCAAAGCTATTGCACGCCTCTGGAAGACTTCTTTTATGGTGATTTATTGATATTTTTATGGTGCTTTTGCATCTGCTATGAAGCTTAAATGCTCCAGTCTCAATCGTAATTGTATGGAAAAGAGCAGCTGGCACATTAATAAAGATTTCTCATTTCGTGTTATACAAAAGAAAGAATATCATATGGCTTTGGAATGACTTCAGAGTAAATAACCTTTTTCGGGGTTTTTTGGGGTGAACTAATCCTTAAACATCCATTTTGCACACATTTTAGCCTACATATGTGCATGCAGCTGTTTCATTCACACACACACAGGTCATCTCTGATGACTCATCTATCTTCTGCTTTGGCACTCCTGTGAGAGTTGGAAGATTACAGCAGCCGGCTGTGACTAAAATGTCAGAGCGATCTCCATGGCATAGCGTGAAGACCTGAGCGCAGCACATTCACTACTCGGTGCTCTCCTCGCAAACCCAAAGCTTGTGTTCCCTCTCATTCGCCCCTGTGAATAGCCCTGTCTGTTCTGCGGCTCTGACCTCTCCTCAGGAGAGCCACAGAGGGGCCTTGTCCCCTACAATGTCCTCATCAACAATGCCACACTGTTCTCATCCAGAACCAGGAGGATCATGGCCTTTTGTCTTCTTTATTGCGTGTTGTCCTTGTCTTTGCTGCTAGCATTATGCCTCTGTGTATTTACGCTGCCATGTGAATTACTGCCCTTTTCCTTCAGATTCATCTGAAAATAAGTTCACTTTTGAGGTAAATATGTCTGTGATTTGATGTATTCGTTTGCATAATATACAGTAGGGACTTGTACACTTATACAACTTTTTTTAATAATTAATATAATACACTGTAAGGAAAAAGTTGCTGCCTTAAATTTGTAGGTATCAATTCAACTTAAATTACTTAAACAGATTTTTTTTTAAATGAGTTATATCTTAAAAAAAAGTTGAAAATTGCTTAACTTATTTTGATGAGTTAAAGCAATGTAAAAACATGTTGTCGTAACTTATTGATCATATATTTTTTTACAATGTAATACTCTTTTGGAACAACTTCCTAATTATTTCTAAATTAGTAAATCTTCTGTGTTTCAAGGTGTAGGGGTGCCTCTTATGTTGACGTATGTCTACGGGGTCGTGCCCATGTCGTTGTGCCGTAACGGCTGGTGCAGGCCACAAACTGAACCTCCTGAAGTACGGAACATACAGCTGGAAGATCTGGCCAATTGTAAGTTCAGTTAACAAATTAAAAGTTGAGCTGCTTTCTAAATTAAATAATTGCTCTTGATGTTTAAATCAAAAGAAAAATCAGATTTTTTGCAGTATTAGTTGAAATTGATGTCAATTTAGCAGAGATTCTTGTCGTTTTTTTGTGCTAGATAATGGCTATATGGCTGATACAATAATGGGGATCATATAATACAGATATTAGATAATAGAGCAAGATAGTTCTGCTTCTACATAGCTTTAGTGAAGTTACTGTAGCTATTTTGTTGCTAATACTGTAGCTCATAGTGAAGCTAACATTTTTTTTAAAGAGTACTTTAACTACTATGTTCTAAGAATGTTTTGCTAACATTCCCAGTTCTGAAAACATAATTTTCTGAACGTTCAACAGGTCCAGTTTTTTAAATGTTTTAAAATCGTTTCCATTTTATAATTTTGCAAACATTATGGGAGCGTTACTTTTGAATGTTCTCTAAACATTTTGAAACTAGTAACATTTAAAAAATGGTAGACCAACTAAAATGTTTCAGAAAAAAATTGTTCCACAAACATTTTGAGAACATGTTATGACCAGATAACTTTGAGCGAACATTCTATAAACGTAAATTGAAAACTTTTCTTTATAACTTTGAGAAAACCTTACCAGAACATTAGCAAAAAAAACTGAGAACGTTCCTTGATAGATGGGTTCAATGTAGTTAGATACTTTTACTTTTGACTACTTTTAAGAGTATCTTTGCTGTAAGTTTAACCACCTTAAAGAGATTCACTGTAGTTTGCTACTTTTTGTTGAAATTTTAATGTGGCTAATTAAAGTATCTGTTCATGTTAATTAGCTACTTGTTCATTTGTATAGCTAACTACTATTTTGAAAGAGATTATAAATATTGTTTTAGCTTGGAAAGCAAGTTAAAAAATTGCTTACCCAGCACTATACTGTACATTACCCACGACTCTGTTTGCTTGAACATGATCCTGTTTTATTATAAATTGATTATCTTTCTGTATGAGTTTGTATTTGATTATGCAAACATTGTAACTCTAGTGCAGAAAGATTTGTATTGCAATATTAAGTTCTCAGTTTGGCCTGATCTGATGACATTTAAACTTCTCTTGAAGATCTTCTATTTTCTCATGTAGTCAGTGATCATTGGACTGGCCAGCCTAACCCCGCTCTAACTGAGGGAAGCGTACAGGAAGTGAGTGTGAATGTGGAGGAAGTGATGTCGCTTCCCAGCACCAGTGTGGTCCAGCCTGGAGCAAAGGGCTCCGTTGAGCTCCCTAATGATGGACATAATGACAGCACTGAGCAGGTTGTTCAGTCAGACGATGTGGATGTAGCTGAGGAGTGTGCCTTCAGCAGCACACAAACATTTGCTCTGAGGTCAGCAAATGTCATGAAATGGCTTGATTTTGCAGGCAATCATTTTTCAAATATTAAGAAGAAGAAGTAAGCAAGATTGTTAAAACATATACGCTACTGTTTAAAAGTTAAAGATTTTGAAATAACTCTCTTATGCTCACCAAGACAGCATTTATTTTGATTAAAGATACAATATAAACAGTAATATTGTGAAATATTATTACAATTTAAATGGTTAGTTCACCCAAAAATGGAAATTCTGTCATTAATTACTAACCGCCATGTCGTTCCAAACCCATGAGATTTTCGTTTACCTCCGGAACACAAATGAAAATCTTTTTAATGAAATATGAGAGTTTTCCATTTTAATATATTTTAAAATGTAATTTATTCCTGTGATGACAAAGCTGAATTTTCAGCATCATTACAGTCACATGATCCTTCAGAAATCGGAAAAAAAAAAAGAAACAGTTCTGATTATTAATAATTTTGAAAATGCTGCTTAATATTTTTGTGGAAACCGTGATAGTTTTTTTTTTTTCTCTCGTTTTCTTTTTCTAGGATTCTTTGCTGAACAGAACGTTTTTGTATTACTCTGACATTTTTGACAATATACCCCCTCAAAATTATATCAAAATGATTTTTAATTTAGAGATTAAAAAGATGATCATCATAGAAGAGGTCTATTTTAACCATTTTATGCCAGATTTTACTTTTTGGAAAAAAAGATATTTTTGTATAAATTATTAGATGGAATAAAAATAAATAAGCATCACATCATTGACTCCTGTTTCCTAAAACAGTTTTTTGTTGTTTACCACAGGGAAGGGACCAATATTGAGGTCCGTGTGGAGATTGAGGCCCAGCCACGGGGCGGCCGGAAGCCGAGTCTCAGCAGTATTCTGTCTAGCAAGAGCCTGTCGGCAGAATCTCTCAGCCAGCCCTGTGAACCTCTGTGTGCCTCTCAACAGCCTGGGAGCACCGACCCCGTACCAGTTCCTGAGATAGACAGCGTCTGAGCGACTCCTGGAAAACCACTGGCTTCCACGACTCACCTACACTCCCACCAGGAGCTTCCAGCCTCTGCCTGCAAATGCAGAGAGTCGGCGAGCGTGAAAGAAAAGAGAGAGATGGAGAAAAGCATCCAGGGCAGCTGCTAAAATGCCACGGTGGGGATTAAAGATGATCATATAAACTCAAATGACCAAGCGCATGTTTGTCAACAAGTATGAGGAGTGCTAACCAATTTTATACTGTTATATAGAAAACATTGCCGATTTGGATGCTGGTCTGTTTAATTTATTCGATTAGCTTTCCTTTTTAGCTATACCCTTTATCTAATGACCATATGGTTCATGTCCCCTGGCTCCTCCGTGGAGAGAAAAAGAAACGGTAATAAGCTACGGATTAATAGCATGGTTATTTCTGCCACAGTTGCCAGCCTGACATGCCCTGTGAGTATACGTTACAGCAAGATGGTGAAATGCAGGCTGAAGATAAGCGTGCTGCGGGCTAATGCTAAGGGCTTTTCCCTCCTGGTATTCATTCATTTAAAATAATGCAATTTCCTTTTTTGCATTTTCATGAAGGAGCAGCAAAATCTGTGGGATTTAGGTCTAGAATTAGCCCTCAGCGTAATGCTGTTTCCATTATGAAAATCTTGGGTCAAAACTGGTGATCTTATGGAATGTAAACATCATGGACTATGAGTGCTGCTATAAAAAACTGATGACCTTGTTTTTCTCTCTTCACTTTTCAGTTTTATTTCTGCAGTAAAGGCATTTGTTTTGTTTTTTTCCTCTGCTGTTATTGAGTACTTAATGAATCAGGTTTGAATAGCCCATTTACTAAAGAGAGCATCTTTTCTCAATCATCTGCATTGACCGTTTCAGCTTGCTAAGTAATAGGCTACATTGTACTGGTACCCCAGAGCCAACAGTTGCATAATGTCTAGATTTTCTTTACTGTTATTTTTGACACTTTGCATTGAAGCAACTGCTAGATCAGGCCTCTAACTCAAACTTTTACCCTCTGTCCAATTCAAAAACGAGCAGTGGATAGCCCATGCCTCCAGGAGTTTCCTAAACCTTTATAGCTGCACTGCAGATTGGGAACAATGAATGGAACAGTATGTCAGTAAAAAGATTTGTATTGAATGGTGTCGTGTTTTTATTCTTGTTTTTCTATATTTTTTCATTAATCGGATGTTATTTTATGTTGTAGGTGGTAGACTCTATTTCAACTGTTTTTGTCAGTATTTTATTAGGCACAGACAGAGGGCGCTAGAGCTCTAAAAAAAAAGACGACTAGATCGATGATACCTGCTGCATCCAAGCAGTATGCCTACAGACATGCATCTCAGTCTTTGTTTATCTCTAAAAAAAAGGTGGTTATCTTTCTAACGAACTAAACCTAACCCTCATTTTGGTCCAATGACATAATATGAAGATGCTCTGTTTTTGGTAACTTTCTAATATTTCTATTGTCCATTGAATTGAACAGGGCTGCGTTTCCCTAAAGCATCGTAAGCCTAGAAGTTAGTAAAGTTGCTCGTAGAAAATGCTCGTAAATGCTAAGATCCATCGTTATCTAGAAACGCAGGCCAGGGTTGCGTTTCCCGAAAGCATCGTTAGCCAACTATGGTCGCAAGTTGGTCGCAATTTCCATTGAACTCTATTGGTAACGACGGAACTTGCGACCATATGGCTAACGATGCTTTCGGGAAACGCATCCCTGAACAGTAGCCTACTACAGTAGCAACATAAAAATATATTTTAAAAAAATGTATATATATATATATATTACGAAAAATGTAGTAGGCTACGCTGTTTACCCATTGTAAATTCGGGTTGTTTTTCACTTTTTTATTTTCAATTATGTGACCAAGTTTGTGCACTTAAAGTAGGCTAAACTAGCTGAATGGATATTGTCAAAGCTACCTGGGCCTTATGTTCCTTGCTCAACAACACTCTTGTGTTCTAATGGTTCCATGAAGAACATTTAACATGCATGGAACCTTTCCATTGCACAAAATGCTCTTTATATATTTTTAAATTATACATCATGTTAATGTGAATTATGAAGCGGTTAATCACAGGGTTGACGGGGAAAAAACTTAAATATATATTTATACTTATATTTTAAATAAAATATTTGCTATTATGGGGAAGTATAGGAAGAATAAACACAAAATATGTTATCTAAACAAAATTATTCTCAAAATTTGTAGGAGAATTATTATTGAAATTGTTAAATCATAAATCATTAAGCAGCCTCGATATAAATTAAAGTCAATGGGTGGTCGAGCATTTTCGGTCTCAGCACCACGTCTATGGAATGCTCTACCATCGGGAACTAGAGACTCTCCAACATTGGACTGTTTTAAGAACTCTTTAAAGACACCTTTTTAGAGCTGCTTATTGCAACTGAATGTGTTTGTCTTATTGTATCTTATTGTTGTCATTCTCTTTTTGTATATTGTAGCGCTTTGAGTCTAAGAAAAGCACGTTAGAAATAAAATGCATTATTATTATAATCATATAGCCTATTTACAAATATCCAGTTCCCTTTCAGGGGAACTCGAGCTGCGTTGAGACGCTGTGGGAACGCCCCTGCGTGATTGCGTCGTGAAGCACATGTGGGAAGCACGTGTGGGCACCGACCAGGAAACTATAAAGCTGTCTGTCACTGCAAGCACAATCTCTCTCTCTCTCTCTCTCTCTCTCTATATATATATATATATATATATATATATATTATGGCCAACAAGCAAGATTTTAAGCGATGTGTTGTTCCTTTCCCTCGTTTCATCACGGGTGGGGACACACATCAGCTTTGTGTTGTTTGTTTGGGAGTGGAGCATGCCCAGTCAGTTCTCGAGGGAGCTGACTGTGAGCATTGCGAGAAGCTGTCCGTGAGGACTCTCTGCTCTCGCCGAGCGTTCTTCCAGGAGGACGGCTCGGTGCGCGCTCCCCAGGGTGTAGGTCCCGCTGCTGCCGAGGCACAGCGGCGACGCAAATCTTGGGGTTCGCAAATGGATCTGACAGCGGGGTTTGAGATGGGCCCAGCCCTATCTCAGCCTTCACCTGCCAGATCCAGTGCCTTGTCTCAGGGAGAAGCACGCATTGCGGTTTCTTCTCCCCGAGATGAGGCACCAATGCTGCGACTATCCAGTTCTGAGGAATTGGATGTCGTCAGCATTGATGCAGGGGATTATGAGAGTTCGCCAGCTCATACCCCTGATGTTGATCTGGAGCTTATGGAGGTTGTGACTCGCGCTGTTGCCAGATTAAATATTGACTGGCCAGCCGAGGAACAATATGAAAACAAGAGTTTACTAGATGAAAGATTTCTACCATCTAGATCACAGCCTCCTCGCCGGGGTTTGCTGTTTTTTCCCGATCTCCACACTGAGGTGTCAAAGTCGTGGAAGAAACAGGTTTCATTTCAAGTTTTTAATCCTCAGACATCAAATTACAGCAATGTTATGGGTATTAGAAATCATGGTTATGTGACAATGCCTCGGGCTGAAGAGACGCTTGCGAGCTATGTCTCTCCTGAGTCAGCGTCATCATTTAAAGCCCCGGCGTTACCCACCAAGCCATTAAAAGCTACTTCAGCGCTGGTGGGTAAAGCGTATTCGGCAGCAGGTCAGGCTGCGGCATGTCTGCACACTATGTCAATTCTGCAGGCATACCAGGCTGATCTGCTTAGGGGGGGGGGCCTGAGTGGCGGTCGCAGTCAAAGCCAGTTAGAGGCAGGCAAGATCTGAGGACTAGATCTCGAGAGACTGGTTCCCTTACAAATGTTTCTGTCAGCGTGGAAACTACTGCCAAATATGTCTCATTGGGTCCTGCATATAATAGAAAAGGGTTACAGAATTCAGTTCGGTTCTCATCCACCCAGATTTCAAGGGGTCCTCCCTACAGTGGTGGACCCCGAGCAGGCTCTGGTTATGGAGCAGGAAGTACAGACTCTTCTAAAAAAGGGGGCTATAGAAAGGGTTCCTCCTCCCATTAGGGAGTCAAGGTTTTACAGCCGGTACCTCATTGTCCCAAAAAAGGATAGGGGGCTGCTTCCTATTCTAGATCTGCGCCTACTAAACCGCAGGGTTCAGAAACTCAAGTTCAAGATGCTTACACTCAAACAGATCGTGTCACAGATTCAGTCCGAGGACTGGTTTGTCACGATAGACTTGAAGGACACTTACTTCCGTGTATCCATCCATCCTCATCACAGGAGGATGATGAGGTTCGCTTTTAGGGGCGAAGCGTTTCCGTATCGGGTCCTTACATTTGGCCTAGGTTTATCACCCCGCACTTTCACAAAATGCGTGGATGCAGCTCTGGCTCCTCTGAGACTCCAGGGCATCCGCGTGTTGAATTATATCGACGATTGGTTGATTTTAGCTCAGTCCAAGCAGATGGCAGTTCGGCATCGAGATGTCGTTCTGTCCCACATGAAGATGCTGGGGTTGAGGCTCAACGCCAAGAAGAGTGTGCTCCTCCCATCCCAGAGGACCACTTTTCTAGGTGTGGTATGGGATTCGATATCGATGCGGGCACAATTGTCACCAACACGCATTACTTCGATTCTCTCAGCCATAAATGGGGTAAAACTAGGCCAGTCACTCACTGTGAAACAGTTTCAGAGATGGGTTGGGTCTGTTGGGTCTCATGGCAGCTGCGTCCAATGTAATTACTTTTGGCCTCCTGTACATGAGACCCCTGCAGTGGTGGCTCAGGACCAAGGGGTTTTCTCCGAGGGCAAATCAGTTTCGCATGATCATGGTCACGCGGCGATGCCTACGTGCCTTAGTCATGTGGAACAAACCTTGGTTCCTCGCCCAAGGCCCAGTGCTGGGGGCTTCTTGTCGACGCGTAACGCTATCGACGGATGCTTCCCTCACAGGTTGGGGGGCGATCCTGAGTGGTCGCTCGGCGAGAGGTCTTTGGCAGGACCATCTACTTTCTTGGCACATAAATCGGCTAGAAATGATGGCGGTGTTTCGAGCTCTCAAGCACTTCCTGCCAGACCTGAGAGGTCACCATTTGCTTGTCCGCACAGACAACACATCGGTGGTCTCTTATATCAACCATCAGGGGGGTCTGAGGTCACGTCATCTTTGAAAACTGGCTCATCAGATCCTCCTATGGGCCCAGGGGAAGTTACTGTCTCTCAGGGCAGTATATATTCCAGGGCATCTAAATCTGAGAGAGGATATCCTGTCGAGGCGGGGGCTGAGGCCCGGGGAATGGAGACTTCACCC